TTTTTCATTCCCAATAATGTAATAAACCTACTCCACTAGGTTTTGATTTGGTACCCTTCTTAATGAGGTTCACTGACTTTTATGCATCCTTTTGAGGGTGCATCGTTCGCCTAAATAGCATATACAAAATTTACTTGATCGGTCACTTTATACATAAATCCAACTAATGATTTTCTCATTGTTTTGGTCATATACAGACTGTGGAACAAGGTAGTTCTACTTTTCTGCATCTACAATTGATGCCACATCCCTTTGTGCAATTTAGGGTTAGTTTAAATTTACCTCGGAAAAGATTTAGACCCTCAGTAATGGAGTTGGACTTATCATTTATTACAACCAATAACTACTCTAATTCTTTCTGCACCATTTTCAACTTCGTAATACTTCTTTTGCAATTGCATAGCAGGATTGCCATTGTCTGACGATATATCTGAGTTCAACGACGATGAAGCCGATCTAATTTCGTTATTTTCCGCTAACAATTATATAAAAATAAATATATGGAAGATAAGAAGAAACTAGCGAAAATGAACGGTAATTAACAAAGTCATGGAATAACTTAACCATGGACTAGGATACAGAGGAAAAAGCGCACCTTACATTCACCTCAAAGGTGGTGCAGAAATGAATACAGCGCAATGCCCCAGTAAATTTTACCTTTTTTATGTAGATTTATATCTCACAAATAAACGTTATACTAATCAAAATTAATGTTAATCCAATATCTTGTGAGATACTTGAAAAAAATATTTATCATGACCTTTGATCACTTGAAACTTTTGTAGACGTTCAGTTGGATCTACGACTTTTGATGAAATATTTGTGAGGCTAAAATAAAGACAATTCCGCTAACAATTTTTTTCTGTATAAAGTGACTGGGCGTATTATTTCTTTCCTTAAATAGGAAGGTTGTTATCGTACAAAAACCTCGCTTTTTATGTACGTAAAGAGCTTCCCCAGATTAGATTGCCAGTTTACTTTTCATTGCACGCTGATTTCGAATGAGGAAATGGTCCATATTTTTATAAACGAACTGACTTAACATTAATTTATATGGTTAATCGTAATTGTATGTTAATAATATTTTTTGAAGTTTTCAGAACACATATAATCAATGAGTACAAGCCGCTATTGATAAAATTTTTTTAATATTTGTCACTTATTATAAGCATAAGAATATTCTATATTGTCCTCTTTTACAATGTTCGTCGCATCCACCTAAAATAGAAATTACATCTAGGTTTAATGTACAGTGACTACTATTATGTTCCATGACATAAATACCTATTATATCATAGTATCATAAGCCTATATATTCAAAACAGTCTTGTTATCACCTCACATGTAAATTTTATGTCAATCGTTTGCATAGATTCATTTGTTATGAGTAATGGAAAAATTTGGAAATACAGATAAAACTAGGTGTTCTGCGTAATAAATAAAATTTTATAAATGAACATCGCGGCATCGAAATCAATTCTTTTTTGAACACTCCTTCATTCATTTCTTCTTCAGTCTTTCGGTCTGCCTTTAGTTCCCGCTTCTTAAAAGAAAACGCCCTCATACACACACAATTAGTGAATAAAAGGTACACAGTACATATGTAGCAAAATAGAGAAGTAAATATTAGGAGGGGAGTCAGACAGGGATGCATACTGTCACAGCTACCTTTTAATGTATACATCGAAGACGCGATCAATATCATTAAAGACAGTACGACTGTAGGGATAGATATACAGGGGCAAAAGATTAGTATGCTTAGATTTGTAGATAACATAGCAGTATTAGCATCTAGCAAGGAGGAGTTAGAGATAGATTTAAATAAAATGGAAGCAGTATTGACAAAACAGTATTGTGAAAAAGGACGGAAAGAGTAGTAGGGATATAAAGCAGAGGATAGCTCAGGGTCGAGTCGCCTTCAATGAAAAGAAGTCACTTCTATGCTTGCGAACGGTTAATTTAGAAATTCGAAAATAATTGTTAAATGTTTGGAGCGCGGCGCTGTACGGGTGCGAAACATGGACAGTGGGCGCGGCGGAGAAATGTGGTGTTACAGGCGAATGATGAAGATACCGTGGATAGAGTAGGTTAGAAATGAAGAGGTATTAGAAAGAATAGGAGAACAGAGGATTCTATTTATGTCAATAAGAAATAGGCGAGATAGGTCGGTAGGACACTTTTTCAGACATGCCGGTCTAGTCAGAAGCATATTAGAGGCAGAAACAGGAAACCGAGCGGCATGGCCTAGAGGTCTAGACCATTGCTTAGCATTCGGGAGGACGCCGATTCAATTCCGGGTCCGTCTGCCTTGGTCCAAGTTTTTCTGTGATTTCCTTGGATCACTTAGGCAAATGCTGAGGCAGTAATATTCCACAGATAATCTTTCACTCTCTTCTTTCACCACCCACCCATTCCCACGATTCCTGAAAGCAGGCTGAAGAGGGCCTTCCGCCCTACCTTCCGGCATAGTCCGGAGGGACTGCCCGCCCACCAGCATTAGTGACTGGTGGGAATGAAACACCCAAAAGAAAAAAAAAAAAAGAAACAGGAGTTAAGAGGAGTAGGGGGTAGACCTAGATTAGGATAGATGTGGGTTGTTCTAGGTTTGGGGAAATGGGATGAGTAGCTCAGGATAGGAATATGTGGAGGTGCGTGTCCAACCTGTATTAGACTGACGACCTTATGGTAATGAGTAAACATGTTTGATTTTGTGTCCTTTTAAGGGTTCCTGGTTATGCTTTATTTTGTATTATATTTTCACATGTAGGTATTTATTTTTCAAATTGACTTTTAGTAGGTACCTACCATCATTTATTTGCTGTCGTTTAGAAAGGAACGGAATTGTCTTTTTCTTCGCTAATTCAAACATCCACAATTACCAATACATTGATTAAATAGGCGTTGTAGGTTGGTACGACACCTTCTCAAACACGAAACGCTAGTTAGAGACATAATGGATGCAGAAACAGGAATGAAGAAGACTAGGGGTAGAGTTAAATTAATAAATTTCGTTATACGTAACTGTAAGATTGTACTTATTTAATTTTAATAAAAATTCCCTTCCTTATTAGAGATAGATATTTAAAATTATTTGTCTCCATATTTATCACATTAAATAAATTGTTTTAGTTTATTCTATGTATTTTTTGAAAATAAGCGCAGAAAACAGCAAGTGCCAATTTACCAGAAGATTATGCATCAAAGATGCAAACCGCCGTCAAGAGTTTGATTAGATTTTCGTTAGTTCAAACAAATACACGGGTGAACATNAAAATATTGAAATTTATTATAGATTTCTTAACAAATAGGCAGCTAACAATCTGTTTTACAGTGGGTGTGTTCTTTAATTTTTGTGTTTTTGTTTTGTTTTTTTTGCTTTTGATTTTAATGGCGTTTTAAAAAATCCGCCATTACAATATTATTTTCGCGAACCCCCTCTGCAATCACTGCGAACCCCCAGGGGTTCGCGAACCACCGGTTGGGAATCACTGCCTGAAATTAATAACAAAATTAATAAGTCAAATAATATGATAAAATAATTGAAACAAGTGTCCTGACAATTTCTGTAAAATTCGACATAGGTTTAGGCGTTTCGAAGATTAGCCTGTACAGACAGATATCCAAATTTTTTTTCTTTTATAGAATAGAAATTTTAAGTGTTTGAAAATTCAATCCATGATTAAATTGAATACGATAATGCGATGTAATCGTTTATTGACTATCGAAAATTGTGGTTCCGATAAGAACCGGTTTTATTACAATGTTGGACACATTTCTGCATCTATGATGAGTTTTGACACTATTGCAGCATCCAAATAATAGTGAGCCTTCTTTTGGAGTGGTTTATTGAATTATATACATGCTATTTCTACTAAATTTGTTTACATTGGTGTTATGGTACTACATGCTTAAGCGATTTACGTCTATATGTATAAATGTCTATGACCTGGCACTCTGTCGCGATTTTACTAAGTCGGCAAAAATGAAGCATTTTAATTGTTACACATTTGAGTTGTTTATTGCTATACCGAGTGTTTCTACAGGACCCCCCTTCCAGTGAGGAACAATGTGGATTAACCTGTTCGGATATAACTTGGGAAATGTATTCGATGACCGGACCGGGTTGTGCTGGTCGGTTATCCATTTTCTTCTCTGTAGGGGTAGCTTGAGGATGTTGTTCATCGGCCACGATATATGTTGGTTTGATAAGGCTTTGCTTGTGCCTGGAATGTGAATCTGTTTGAGTTGTAGGGATCGGTTTGAGTTGAGGTATTCCTGAAGTTCCAGGTATTCCTGAAGTTCCCCATCGGATTCCTGCTCATTAGAAAAGTTGCTATGTTGGTGCCGTTTGCTACTTGTAGTGTGAACGTGGATACATGCAGATATCAGCACCGGTGTCGACTTGAAATTTCTGGCATGTGATTCTGTCTGATACAAATAAGCGACGCTGCGCTATGTGGACCTCACTTGTCGCCATTAATGAGCTCCCGGTTGGTTTCCCGATGATTTCCTACACGGAGGGATGCATTTTCGTGCCTTGTCCTGGAATTTGCGATGGTAATAGCAAAGGCCACTGGTCCTGTCGTTGCTGTTGAACTGTTTTCGTGAAGAAATACCATTTGAAATTGATTGAGATCTTGCCCTCGAGTTTCTCGCCATGTGTCGTCTTATATATCTATTTGAAATGCTTGTACCTTGTTAGTCAACTGTTGGATGATATCGTACTGGAGAGTAGGCGTGATCGAAGCTGATATTACGGATTGTTTTTGGCTTGCTTTCATGATGTAATCGGCGATTTCGGCCACCCCATCCAACTGTTTGTCTTTCATGGTCGCGATGACTGTATGAAGACTTTGAGGAAGGCGACCCGACCAGATTTTTCCAACCAAGCTTCGGAGGTGACGCAGGAATTGTGATAGTTTTCTGTCACCAATTTCTTCATGTCCAAGCAACTGTTTGGTGCGAGCTTCTTGTGAGATGCCAAGCTGACGAACGAGTGCTACCTTGATTGTGACATGTGGCTCAGTCGCCGGGGGGTTGATGATGATGTCAAGCACTTCGGCTGCGTAACGAGGATCTAAATTGCCTAATACATACTCGAATTTTGTGGATTCCGAGGTAATTTCGGAGGCCTCAAAGCTTCGGGGTCAGAGGGTACGAAAGGTGGTAGCTTGACGGCCAGTCGGTCGACGGAGGAGGGAGGATCGGCATTTTGAGGACGTGACATGATTAGTCATCCACGTTGCGGCTGGCCTGGGCAACATTTTTGCTTATGTGCCGTTGTAAGTGTTGCTGATACTCACGGTAGACTGTCCACACAAGGCTGATGATTTGTTATGACAAGGTTAAGATGAGGAGTCAGTCGCTTCGGTCCAGTGGCGAGGCAGTTGCACTACCAGCAATCACAATCTCTTCCTTCGATAGGGAGGAACCTATAAGAGTATTGTAGTGATGGCAGATGGGCTGATGTTGTAAGGCAGGGTCGGGTGGTACGCCCAATAATGGTGAGTATGTTTGTTCTAATAAGTTGAATAACTCACGTAGAATCTGTTGGTGCCGGTGGTACTCTGTTTGTTTGTCGGTCTGTTGCGTTGGTCCACTAATTGCAGGGGTTGAAGGTGGAAGTTGGGTGGCTAGTTGTAAGCGGGCAAGTCGACGACGTTTCTTCCTTCGTTGACGGCAGTTCAGATAACGGTTCCGGCTGAGGTCACAAATGTAGTTCATTTGCTGTAATTTGTTCTTTATTCGCGGTCACCAATGTAGTTCAATACTGTCCATATATTCTTAGTCGGGGTCACCACTGTAGTCGTTTAATGACTATCGAAAATTGTGGTTCTGATAAGAACCGGTTTTATAACAATGTTGCACACATTTCTGCATCTATGATGAGTTTTGACACTATTGTAGCATCCGATGGTTGACACTATTGCAGCATCCAAATAAAAGTGAGCGTTGTGTTAGACTGGTTTATTAATATTATTTACATGCTATTTATACTAAATTTATTTACATTGGTACTAGATGTTTCAGCGATTTACGTCTGTATGCATAAATGTCTATGACCTCGCACGATTTTACTAAGTAGGCACAAATGAAGCATTTTAATTGTTAGACATTTGAATTGTTTATCGCCATACCGAGTGTTCCTACAGGACCTCCTTTCCAGTGAGGAACAATGCGGATTAACCTGTTCGGATATAACTCGAAATTTACTCGACGATCGGACCGGGTTGTTGTATATGCTGGTCGGTCATCAATTTTCTTCTCTGTAAGGGTAGCTTGAGGATGTTGTTCATCTGCTACGATATACGTTGGTTTGTTAAGGCTTCGCTTGTGCCGGGAATGTGAACCCGTTTGAGTTGTAGAGATTGGTTTGAGTTGAGGTATTCCTCAAGTTCCCTATCGGAAGGGCTTCGTAATCAACGTATGTTGATAGCTCAGAAGTTCGTGAGAGTGTGTCGGCAATAATGTTATCTACATTATCATGTATTTCAGTACCACACTGCGCACGCCAATTTACCAGAAGATTATGCATCAAAGATGCAAACCGCCGTCAAGAGTTTGATTAGATTTTCGTTAGTTCAAACAAATACACGGGTGAACATCAATGTGGTGCCTTTGTATTTCTCGCAACGAAAAGGCAATGCCTCTAAATGATTCAAAGATGGAGCTACTAATACGAACAATGGAATGGAACTCGGTGTGACAGAATTGCAACTCATTTTAAACGGTTAGAGATATGCCTCTTCCCATTACTGAAATGCGCCGTGACAAAATTCCAAATTCTAACATACTTTATCTAGTCTTTTTCNTCAAAGATGGAGCTACTAATACGAACAATGGAATGGAACTCGGTGTGACAGAATTGCAACTCATTTTAAACGGTTAGAGATATGCCTCTTCCCATTACTGAAATGCGCCGTGACAAAATTCCAAATTCTAACATACTTTATCTAGTCTTTTTCCACGCCTGGTGTGAATTGTTTTTATTCGCGCAGCTTTTCTCAAGGTCATATCTCTGACCAAGGGCTGACTGTCCATAACGGAGAGTTCCCCCTTGCCCCCTCACGATACAGGGTCTTTGCATACCTAAACATAAGCATTTCAATCCAATAACCCTGAGAACTGTAATTCATTTATACAAGTTCAAACAGTATTTCATTTACACTTTATTGTAAACATTGTGTACATCATCATCATCATCATAAGGTCATCAGTCCTAAGACTGGTTGGACACGTACCTCCACTCTTTCCTATCCTGAGCTAAACTTCGCATTTCCCTAAAACTAGAACA